GAAGGACTTGTATGCATGCATATAAGCATAACCAATGGACATAAGACATTGGGGGGTAGGGGAGGCCGGGGGAATGTCAAGGTGAGGGGGAAAGGAGACATATGTAATACTCTTTGTAATACTTTAAGCAATAAAACAAAAACAAAAAAAAGAAAAGAAAAGAAATGGCTGCCAGTCAGCCCTACACTGGGGAGGTCTCAGCACAGGAACAATGACCACTGTGAGCACCTCTGTCTGGAAGAAAGCCACCCCCACATTCCTTCCCTGAAGCCAGACAGTCCAGTTTCTCCTTGTATGTGTCTGGGTCCCCCAGAGCCTCACCAGGCACTGGAGCTCAGAGCAAGCAGATACTTGTAAGTTCAGTTTGTAGTGCCAGCCTTTTAAGAGGAGGAGCTGGGTCTCCAGCAGCCTCTGTGTCACTGAGCCCCAATTTGCACTGGTTTTTACAGCCCATAGTTCTTACTGCCTGTAGGGACTTCTTTCCCCAGCTCTGGAACCCTGGGCTGGGGGCCTGGTGTGGGGCTGGGACCCTTTGCTCCTCTGGGCGGCCTCCGTAGAGGCGATCTCCCTCCTGATTATAAAAGCGGCATACATGGGTGCCGGACCAGCCCATTCTGTGCCTCCGCACCTCCTACCAGTCTCAATGTGCTTTCTTCTTTACTTCTCTAGTTGTAGGACTTCCACTCAGCCAGCTTTCCCGTGGTTCTGGATGATAGTTGTTCTGTATTTTAGTTGTAATTTTGATGTGGTTGTGGGAGGTAGCAAGTACAGGTGTTTACCTATGCCACCATCTTGGTTCCTCTGTTGGAGAGTCTTAAGCAGAATGACCTGCCCAGCTCAGGGCTAACAGGACCACACTGGCTGCTGCTTGGGGACCAGTGTGAAGAGGGACAGGGCAGAAGGGGGTGACCTGCACATGCTCAGGCAGAAGCTCCGTGGTGGGCTGGGTGGGTTCCAGTTTCAGGTGGTGGTGCTCTGGGCTCTGGGAGCTGACTCCAGCTTGGAGCTGGGGACAGGGCTTCATTCTCTAAGCTTTCATTTAAACCCCGGTGTGGTTTTACACTGGGACCTGAGAGAACCTGAGGGATCTGCCCCAGGGGCACCTTGGGGTACAAGTGCCCTTCCACAAAGCACACACACTGAGGGTGCCTGCTCTGCCCAGGCCTGTGCTAGACCGTCACTCACACAGCGGTCCTGGGTCAGACAGGGGTTGTCTCCTGTCACCCCAAGTTCTCTCTCCAGCAGCAGCTTCCTCCCAGCATTCTCACCATTTACACTTGGATTTGATTCTAAGTGAGATGATCAAAGGCACTGCAAGGTTTTAAGCCAGGGAGTGGCATGATCGGATGTAGAGTTTATATCGATTTCTATTCTTCTTGTGTGGAGAATGGATTGCACGGCTGACATGGAGATGGGACTAGCTTTGGGCTGTGATTTGGAAGTAGAATTAATGGGGAGGGTAGAGGAAATCAGGGGTAATGCTAGTCCTTTGGTTTTAATAATGGGATGATGACATTTTTAAAAAATATATTTTGAGTTTAGACAGGAATGGAGAGGGAGAGAGAGATAGAAACATCAAGGATGAGAGAGAATCATTGATTGATGCCTTCTGTATGCCCCCTACTGGGGATCAAGCCTGCAACCCAGGCATATGCCCTGACCGGGAATCGAACCCAGGACCCTTCAGTCCCCAGGCCGACACTCTATCCACTGAGCCAAACCAGCTAGGGTTACATTTTTTTTTTTTTTACTAGAATGAGGAAGACAGGAAAGGAATAAGTTGGCTGGAAAAACATCAAGACTTCCTGGCGTGTCACATTTCAGTTGTTCATTGGAGACCTATGAGGAAACGGGCATGTGAGTACTGGAGTCTAGACTTCCAGGAGATCAGGAATAGAAATCTAGATTTGGGAAGCTCTGGCCTATAGATACTATTTAAAGCTCTGGTATTTGAGGTCACCTTGGGAGAGTGTGCCGAACGAGGAGGTGGCCCATGACAAGGTCTGGGCTGCTCCAATGTTTAAAATGGGGTCTGGAGGGAAAGTTACCAGTGGAGGAAACTGAGAATGAGCAACTGGTAACCAACTCTCAGCCCAATGCTGCTGAGCAGTGAGTTAAAGTCAGAACAGAAGGTAAGCATTGGGATGGCGGCGGGGAGCCTGCAGGTGCCCGGGGAGAGCAGGAGTCTGACTGAACAGGCCGAGGAAACCTCTGCTGTGGAGGAAGTCCTTCCTGAGGAGAAGCCCCGAAACTTCGTTCCTCTTCATTCTGGTCCCTGCTCAACAGACTCCTAACATCAACACAATTCCAAGAAAGCTCCTTAAGTCCTTCAAACTGATGCAGTCTTTTGTAGAAATAAGGGTGAATGTTAATGGCTGATCTTGGAAAAGTTTAAGTGAAGATGCCGTGCAATTTAAACAGAGCTGGAATGTTAAAAATCAATATTGAGTTACATAAATAAAATATTGATGGGGTGATTATTCCATTGATGTTTGAGAGTTCACCACACACACACACACACACACACACACACTGTTATTAGTCAGCCCCTTAGGATAGAATACCTAATTTCATGGCTGATAAAATATAAGAACGAGCATGCTCCTCAGCATGTATTTACCAAGTCCCCGGCGTGTTATGGGGAAGAGGACATCTGGAGACGAGCAGTATAATGATGGCAACAGTGGGAACATAAAATGTGCAAAATGAAGTCTCAGCTAAGTCCCCAACTCATCAGACTGGCTACTCAGCAGCACAGGCCCAGCTGATGGGACCGGCTGTGAACCAGGGGGTCACCTCAGTGAGCGAGTGCAGGAAGGACGGCTGGCCTGTGGCTAGCAGAGACAGTCAGCTCAGTGGACATGGCTGGATAAGAGGGGTACTGGGCATCATCCCGTAAGTGGTCTGTTACCAGGAGCTTATATTCACGTACAGTTGAAGTGCAATTCAACTGAATACACACAAGTTTGCTTTCATGATGGAGCATTTGGGAAAAAGAATCTTCCTTTTGGGACTTGAAGTATATCTAATTGCATGCATACTATTTCCATTTCTTCATGGACTCCCTCGTGCTTTACGTTAGCAAAGATGTATTGAGCACTTATTCTGTGCAAAGCACTGGACTGACGTTGCCTTAAACAAATGCACAGAAGAAAGAAACTAGCCCCGAATATTGAATTTTTCTCCTAAACCGAAAGCTGCTGACATGCTGGTGCTGTTCCCAATGGGCATGGACACCACACATTTAGTTCCTACCAGCGCGTGGCCCCCATCTTCCTCGAAGTCCTCCTCTACGCCGTCGGTCATCTCCTCGCCGTCCGCGTCGGGCCCTCCTTCTGCAGGCTCCTCGGGAGAGTGGTCTGCGTTCTCCGACACACATTCCTCTTGGATCAGCTCTATACTCTCTTCCAATTGTTTCTTCTGAGCTTCTGGGGGGAGGGAGGGGAGAAAGCAAATGATTACTACCTTGGGTTGCTCATGCGCCATTTGGATAAACCAAGAGAAAAAACAAACAAACAAACAGTCTACAGAAGGTACACTACCGCTGAGCTGTGAGGAAGATAAGGTCCTGTGAATTTCAGTCAAATTTATTCAGTCACGTATAATATGTACATATGTCTATTTTACATGTATGCTTACTTATTTTTTAATGGAAATAGAGGAAATTGGGGAATCCAAATGATACTGGTAGATAAAGAATAAAGATTTACATAAATAGCCCAGCTGGTGTGACTCGGAGGTTGAGTGTCAACCAAGGAACCAAGAGGTTGCTGGTTCGATTCCCAGTCAGGGCACATGCATGGGTTGCAGGCTTGATCCCCAGTGTGGGGCATGCAGGAGGCAGCTGGCCAGTAATTCTCTCTCATCATTGATGTTTCTATCTCTCTCTCCCTCCCTTCCTCTCTGAAATGAATACAAAATATACTTTAAAAAAATGTACATAAATAGATTGATCTTTCTGGCTATACAGGGTGGGGCAAAAGTAGGTTTAGTTTATTCTTGTATT